CGACACCTCGCGAAACCCTTTGTCCAGGTCCATGGGAAGGGGGTAGGGGGAGGGGTCAAGTTACCCCCTCCCCGCCCGCAAGCCGTCTCGCTCACTCCCACCCGCCCTCCCAACACATACGTAGCACCCGAGTCTGGCCCGAGCCTCAGCATATTCAGCAGTCGACTTTGGATGGGGAGCTACTGGGGGCCAATCCGCCGCCGCCGCCGCTGCCTCCGCCGCCGCCGCCGCCGCCGCCGCCGTCGCTGCCGCCGCCGCTGCCCGCCGCCTGCCGCCCGCCGCCGCCGCCGCCCCCGCCGCCAAACCGCCGCCGCCCGCCGCCGCCCGCCGCCGCCGCCGCCGCCGCCGCCGCCGCCGCCGCCGCCCCCCGCTGCCAAACCGCCGCAGCCGTTGCCGCCACACCGCCGCCGCCGCCGCAGCCGCCGCCGCCGCCGCAGCCGCCGCCGCCGCCGCCGCCGCCGCAGCCGCCGCAGCCGCCGCCGCCGCCACGTGTACTCCTGTATTGTTGTTTGATAGGGATGGTGGGGGGGGGGGGCCGCATCGGGTTGGCTGCGCATGTTCCGAATTTGGATGCAGAGTGTGTTTTGTATTGTTGTTTTGCAAGGGCTGGTGAGGGGGGTGTCGGCATGGACTCAGGTTGGCCCCCAGACCCCTCCCCGAAGGGGAAGAAAGAGGGGTGGAAGAGGAAACTTCTTAAACCACCGACGCCCCGAGAGCTGGTGGGATTTGTCTAAGGTTCGAGCTATCGCATGTATTCAGGCGCCACGCCTTCGCCACTCAAGAATCGCGCTTTCACTTGGGACCTCCCCATACTGTACTTAGAAATCGCGCTCTCGTCCGATACACCCTGGCGAATTATGCAAGACTCATACACTCGCGTAACATACATACTTGCGTTTTCCATTGAAGTGTCCCTCTCGGGGCTCGCTGGGTATTTCCCAGGGAAAATCTTCCTTCTCGCTAGGAGCTTCCTTGCAATGTGTCGACAAATCGCGCTCTCGCGTAATACATCCTCACACTTGATTCAGGCGTCACGGTTTCGACACTCAGGAGCCGCGCTGTCGCTTAATACCGCCTCGCAATTGATTCAGGCGCCGCGCCCTCCACACTGAGGAATCACCCTCTCGCTTTGGCTCCCCTCGCGAAAATTATTTGGAATCGCGCTATCGCTCAAGGCTCTCTCGCGATTCATGCAGGACGCACGCTTCAGCAACCCGCCTGCTCGACCTTGCCGCCTGGGCCCGCCTGTTAGGGTCTACCCGCCCGATCTGCCGTCTGATTCTGCCACGTGTTTTCTGCTCCTAGCCCCCCTCCTGCTACTCTCTCTCGTTCTCCATCCTCCTCTCTCCCCCTTGTCCCTTCCTTCCATCCGTCCTCTTTTCCCCCGCCTTAGGTGCTGCACGAAATACACGCTGCAGTGATGAAAGGTATGCCCCAAAGGGGCTACGATAGAAAACGAAAAAAGTGGGTATCGAAGGTTGGGGATGTACTTGTTGAGTGGCACGCGAGTAGATAAGAGCGAACACTCTTAACATGATTGTTGTTGTTGCTGCTGCTGTTGTTGTTGCTGTTGTTTGTTGACGACGTCCCGCCCACGACCCAACCGCAACCCAACCCGCGACCCACCCGCGACCCACCCGCGAACCACCCGCGACCACCCCGCGACTCACCCGCGACCCACCCGCGACCCGCCCAAAGACCCACCCGCGACCCACCTCGTGACCCACCCGCGACCCACCTGGCGACCCGCCCGCTACCCGCCCGCGACCCACCCGCGACCCACCCATTTCGCGACCCACGCGCGACCCGGCCCGCCCACACGCGACCCACCCACAACACACCCGCGACCCTACCCGCGACTCACCCGCGACCCGCCCGCGATTCACCCGCGACCCACCCCGCGCCCCACTCTTATCTGCAACTGCGGGGTGCTACGTACCCATATCCACTGCGTCTTGGGCTTTCTGGGATGGGGCGCCAAGAGGCTGAGGCGCCTTGCATACGGATGAATATCTAGCCTCTACGGGGCCAGACTTGTATCCATACCCACTGAGCCTCTGGTTTCTGGGAGGGGAGCCCGAAACTCCAAGACGCAGTGGACACGGATACGCGGAAACCTGGCCCGCACCACGGGGGCTTCGATTGCGGTGGTCTCCGTTGCTCTCCTGGTCCAGCGCAGGCCCTGCTTGGTGAGGGTCGTCAGCCGTTTTTTCCCTTTTGCGGTCTCACGGTGCGGATCGTCAGCCGTTTTGTTCCCACGGCCTCACGGTGCGCATCGCCAGAGACCGGTCTCACAGCGATGCTCGTCGGCAGTGCTGCTCCTCACGGGCGTGCGCGCGTTCCGGGGCGGACGCGGTTGAGCCTGGAACCCTCCGCCGCGGTTCCGCAGCCGTGGTCGCCTCTCTCTCAGCAGCGCACCTCCCAGCGTTTTTCGTTTTTTATTGTTTTCATTTTGTCATTTTGCTGGTCTGCACGGCCAAGAACGTGCTGGGCGAGGAGAAAGAGGAGTGGCTCAAGAAGCGCGCCGATCGTCGATCCCCCGTCTGCACCCCTATGATCCCACCTGCGCACCTCAAGAAACAGATGCCGTCACTCAAACGCCTCACGAGCTGTGGCACAGACGTGGCTCTCGGAGGCGCGGACTTCCCTCCGGCCTGCCCGTGCGCGCCTGCACGTCCCAGCGCCGCGTCAGGCGTGCAGCGCCGCCGTCGCGAGGTACGGGAGCCGTGGTTTCCCCAGAGACGTCCCCTGCTACGATTGTTCCCCGCCCGCGGCCCCAGGGCTTCCGATCCCTTCCCCCCGGAGGTCGAGTCCTGCGCCCCGGACACGGATGGCCTGCTGGCCCCCCGCGGCTCGAAGGGGCGCCCCAGGGGCCGAGGTCATCGTCACCCTCGACAGCAGTGACCTCAACGACGCGTTCCGCAGGTGCCTTGTCGATGTGCTGCTCCAGGGTCGGGCGGCGCTGCGTGCCAAGCACTTGCAGGCGCCGCCTCTCCAGTGTCGGCCATCGTGGAATCTTCTGGGCGGCGGTGATATCAGTGGCCAGTCCACGATGGGAGTTTCACGTGCTTCCAGACCCTGGACTCCTTCTCGAGGTGCTCCTTATCCAACGCCCTGACCGTAGGGTAGGCTCGGCCCTCCCGCACACGCTGCGACTCTGGCGCCCGATGTATGGTGGTCGATGCCGGTCGCGCCCGAGTCGGCCGTCGATTCGCGCCCGAGTCGGCGAAAGCCAACGCTCGAACAAGAACGAGCTGCACAAACATGAGCATTCGGATCTCCGCGCGGGTTTCTTGCACCGGCGCTGGGGCCTCTGGCGGCGCCCTCGGTGCCGCCCCTAGCGCTCGGCGCGCCAGGGATGGGGTCCACTGGTCCAAGAAGTTCGCGCGGAGCTCCGAAAGTATATGTTTATGTCGTTTTCTCTTCCACAATATGCGGTGGCGTTCGGTAGCAATCCATGGGAGCCTTGTCCTCGCAATGCCGTCTTCAGACCGCATCAGCGTGCGCCAGCGTCTGGTAGTCGATGAGACAGCACCGACTCAGCGTCGTTCTGGGTTGCCCTCCCCTGGGCGTCGAGATGTAGAGAGCGCCGACTCAGCGTCGATTTAGCGTCGAGTGGCGTCGAACAGAGTCGGCTGGCGTAACGCAGCTTCGGTCCGCAAGAGCCAGCAAGATGACACGGCAGGGCCTCATAACGTGCCACGTGATCGTCTGCTATATCCGGTGGCAGAGCCTCCTCTGGCCGGCGAGGCTCGGGCTCGATACGTGGACGTCTTGGGCGGCTGCCGCGTGCCCGGGGGGGACCGCAGCTGACGGACGGCCCAGCGGCCTCCCCATCGAGAGCGCGCGACCCCCTCACCAGAGCCAAGCGCCCCATGTGAGCGACGCCAACAAAAACCCGGTCGTCTGCGCCGACATGGGCGCGTAAGCTCAGGTCGGGCCGGTCCCCCCACAGGCCGATTCCCGAAGAAAAAATAAAAGCACAATCCACAAATATTCTAAAATGGCCCCCCAGCAAAAAGTATTCCACAAATCATCAACCTACTTCAAAAAGAACAAACAAAACTGGTTATGAATTCTCCTCCTGTAGAAGGGCAGGCCCGACTGAAGCGTAAGCTGCCCGTCGAAGGTCGCGCCCTCGTCTGCAATGTGTAGCGTGCCGCCCTGGCGGCCCGCGCGAGCCTCGGCGTAAGGGGTCTCTGTGGCGTCTCGCGTCAGACCCGCCTCGTTTCGTCGCCCAGGTGGTGGGTCCCGTCGAGGATACAGGCCGCCCGTCCTCCCGCGGTGGAACAAAAACGACGGAAGGTTTTTGCCACGTCTCTGCTTCCGGAGGACCTCGCTGGGTCCAGGGAGCGTCAAGAACTTCAGGAGCAAGTCATGGGAGCCTGGCATGCCCTCTTACTACTCCGTCCTTAGCGTCGATTTGCGTCTGGGAGTCGATGAGGTAGCGCCGATTTAGCGTCGGCTAGCGTCGATTCAGCGACGATTGCGTCGATCTAGCGTCGATCAGCGTTGATTCAGCGCTGATTAGTGTCGATTCGCAAGAGCCGACAAGATGGTCTGGGAGGCTCCCATGAGTTGCCACGGGAAAAAATCAGCAAGTCAGGACGAACAAATTGCGCTGGGCCACGGGTCGGGACTTCTGGGGACCGCGCATTGAGGTGTCTGGGCTCCGGTCTCGAGGAGGGCTCCAGGCCTCCACCACGGGGTCCGAGCAGACAGGGTCGGAGTATCGCCGCACCGCCGATGCATCGGCAATGCGGCACCATGCGGAGCCAGATTTTCTCCATGCCAACGGCGCCGATGCATCGGCGATGCGACGCCATCCTCCCACCCCATGTAGAGAAAGAGGGGGAGGAGGAGGAGGAGGAGGAGGAGGAGGAGGAGGAGGAGGAGGAGGAGGAGGAGGGACGGAGGAGGAGGAGGGACGGAGGAGGAGGAGGAGGACAACGAAAATCTTCCAGCATCCGCCTGTGGGAGGACAGGCCCGACCTAACCGTAGCCCTCTTGGGCTCGAGATCCACAGCCCCAGCGGCACCCCCTCCCATGGCCGCCCGCTGCACTGCCGTGCTGGCCCTCGTGTGCGCCCGGGCCGCCGCCGCCCTCGTCGTGGCCCCCGGTGCTGCCCCCGCCTCGGGTCCTCCACGGGGTGCGGCGGTGCCGGAGTGGCTGCTGGAGCCCTGGGAGCTTGCCGAGAGGGACCGCGTCGCACAGAGGCTCGGAGGAGGGACAGGCAACCATACTGCCACCCTTCGCCCGGTTTCCTCTTTTTCGGCCTTCTGGGAGGCCCTCGCCGCCACCATTGGATTCGCCTCGAAACGCTGGTCAGAACGCGCCCCCGGAGAGGTCCGGGGAGTAGCGGTATTTGATGGGCAAGTTGTCCACCACCACCCATACCATGTGTAGGGCGGGGGAGAACGGAGGATGAGGATGTCCTCCTCGTCCTCGTCCTTGTCGTCCTCCTCCTCCTTCTCCTCCTCCTCCTCCTCCTCCTCCTCCTCCTCCCTCTCCTACATATGGTAGTGGTGGTGGAGCATGGGCGCATCAGTATCAGTACCTTTTGGTTTCCCCAGAGGCGCTCCGACGCGCAGCGCGAGGGCATCCGCGCCGCCTCGCTGCTGAACGAGCACCGGCGGCGCGCAGGGGGTGTCGGAGGTGGGAGGAGATACCGTTGCTCGTCCTCGAGGTCAAGCATTAAGTCGGGCAAGTCCCGCTACAGGAGGAACATTCAAAAATAATAGAAAAAATAGTCTGGTGACGATTTTTCTACTATTTTGGACTATGTTTGGAATGTGTTTGAGTATTTTTGGCTTTTCTTCCAACATCCACCTGTAGGAGGACATGCCGACCTAAGTCAAGCAGTGGCGAAGCTCCGCGGCTTGTCTGTAGGCCTAGAGAAGGGTGTGTTTTCGAGTCTCCTGTGGTTTGCACGAAGTGTTATGATATCATTTCTGACGGAGACCGCCTTGTTCGATACATCGCGCTTACCTTCCAAGAGTTGTCTTTGACATTAGAACATGTCTTCTAGTCCTGCAAGCACTCGTGGCACCCCAGGAGAGGTCAAGGGAGCGGCGGTATCCGTATACTGTATGTTTGAGCTTCTTCTCTATTGAGCTTCCCCAGAGGCGGGTGGCCTTCTGGGGAAGGCTCGTGTGGGAAGCATCGGCGCCCAATCGCCCATCCAACGCCGGCATGGACCTGTTAGTCCACCCCGCCAGGAGGAGGAGGAGGAGGAGGAGGAGGAGGAGGAGGAGGAGGAGGAGGAGGAGGAGAGGAGGAGGAGGAAGAGCAGCAGGAGAAGGAGCAAAAGGAGCTGGAGCAGGAGCAGCAAGGAGGAGAAGGAGGAGGAGGAGGATAGAGAGGAGGAGGAGGAGGAGGAGGAGGAGCGAGCGGTTTCGTTATCAGGGGACCCATCGCCGACCTGTCGGCGATGTATCGCCGATCCAAGCTCGATGTTCCTCCCCCCGGGCTGGCTCCCCCGATCGGTTCCCTTTCCTTCTGTGGGAAGCAACGGGGGGTCCTTCGTGAATCAGAGCGTGAATTACCTACCCCGCTTTCGCTTCCAGGCAAAACCAAGTCATACCACGCGCCTCCTCGTCAAGCGGCCTGACCAGTACATGCCGTAGTTTGGCACCGCTTGGTATCTCTTGGAAGCGAGGGTGGTCAAAAGCGAGGTAGGTTTGTTTGCCCCCCAGTGAAAGGGCGCTCGCGGGCTTCCGAGGCAACGTGTGACGCGAAGGGAGATCGCCCGTCTGGCATGCGGGTCCCCACGCATCCGGGCGGCGCGAAGCAGTAGTGATGTCTAGTTTTGGCAACGTGCCCGGCCTTTTCAGGCCGCTTCCTGAAGGCTTCTCCAAAGCCAGGGGCATTTCAAGAAGCCTCCAGCCTTGATCGATGGCCCACTGCATGAGATTACTCCCTTTGAGCGCCGCCGGCCAAGAGCATCTTGAATTTCAGGCAGCCCGGCCAGTGTTTCGCCCTTCCCATGGTTAGCACGCACGTGGAGAATTGGAAGCGTATCGACCAGGACGTGCAGGAGGGGAGGCGACATGCAAGCTCGTTGCAGATAGTCTTCGCAGGCCTCATCCGCAATGCGGAAAGCTCGGTGTGGAGAAGTTACGAGATGCTGAAGAAAATCGGCGTGCATTTCAAAGATTACAAGTTCCTCATTTTTGAAAACGATTCGGAGGACAAGACCCTTCAGATCATGAGCTACATATCGAGTCTAGATCCACGGTATGAGTTTCGGTCCGAGCGGTTATCGATGGGCGATGAAAGAGGATTGGGGAAGTCTCGCATGGCACGGATGGCCACTCTGCGAAATTTTGTTCACAATTGGGTACGAGAGTTTGTCGGCCGTACCCATCAATGGGACTTGGTGGCCATTTACGACTTTGATTTGAACGCTTTCGGAGCGCAGACATTCTCGCCCCACGCATTGTTCGCAGCGTTGGGGCGTAATGAAACTCTGCATAACGACTGGGACATGCTCTGCGCAAATAGCATCCGCCACACTCCCTACGTACCGCAGCAGCATGTCTGGTCGCCACCCGATGTTGGAGTTGGGGTTGGCATGTATGATTGTTTTGCTTACCGTGATTTGCACAATGATTCTTTTAATGGGCTTGATTGTGGACAAACGATGTCGGACGTGTTGTTCTCACAATACGAGCTCGTTCCTGTGCACTCATGCTTCGGTGGGCTTGCGCTGTACAGGCCAGAGAGGTTTCTGGAGTGTCAGTACGACCCCGATGTGTACGATTGCGAACATGTAGTGTTTCACCAGTGCATGCGACAGAAAGGGAGTGAGGGCCGAATGTTCCTAGACCCGCTACTGACAACAAGTTACGACAGTTGGATTCCAATGGGGTGCTACACCGACGCCGCGAGCGCTGATGCGTCTTTCCAACAGGACGAAATGTTGGCACGCGATAGAGGAGGATTAGGCAGCACATCCTCTTTTCCTCCGAAGGCACGGTGCCACGACGTGTTCGCAGACTCGGAAAGGGGAGATAACGTCTGCAACGAACTGCTCGCGGCCAAAAGCCACCCTGTCAGGACTGCTGTCCAGTGCATGTCTTTTTGCAGCGGTTACAAGTTTGCCCAGTGGGCTGATAAGGGTGGGACATGCCAGTGTTACGGTGAGCACCAGTGCGAGACGAGCCGGGCGGCCGTCACCTTGGCCACCCGTACCAGGGTGTACACGTGCGGCGACGTGTGAGTGCAACAGCGACATAAGGATGAAGGGTGCAGAATGGGGTGAAGACGGAGGGGGTGGTGCTGTCGCGTGGCCCTTGTAGTCTGGCACATGTTCCAGGCGAGCGTCGTCCTTCAATGCAGCCTCATCTCTAGAGAAACAGTCGAAGTATATTGGCGCTTTTCTGTCTTCCTTCCCGCGCACTCAGGGGGGCAGCATTCTGAAGGATTTCGCCCATCAATGGGATTTTTCACGAAGCTAGCGTAATTGGTGCGCAGGGCTCGTCGTCAGGGCTGGTCGTGATGGCTCAGGTTTTCAAAGTGCATGGTTTGATTGTCAGGGTTGGTCCTTGCGATGTTATCGGGGCGAGTCTTATGAGCACTGTCCCTGGAACGAAGCCTCAGTTCATTTTCACGTACGCTGTGCTCGGTCGAGGAGGGGGCTTGTGAGGAACTCTTCCTCGTCATCTCCCGAAGCATGATCGGAGGAAGCTCCACGTCCATCCGAAGGAAGGAGGAGCGGTGGGTGCTAGCCAGGCGTGGTGGTGCACACTTCTGGGGACACTTCCTCGTCAGACCGTGCACATTTGCAAACCACAAAGACGGCAGATCCCGCACCCGCTGCGATGGTCCGATCCATTCTCCTTGGTTTCCCGATCACGGGAGAGGCAGTACAAGGACGAAGCGTTCAGCAGGGCATTCAAGCCAGAATGGGATGTACATGATGTCCCCCACCCGGCATAATGGGCCTCTTATTCTGAGTACCTCAATAGTTCTGGGCCCCCGGACTACAAGGGCCCCCCGGACAACAAGGCCCCCCCCCCCCGAACTACAAGGGCCCCCCCTCCCCCGGACTACAGGGACCCCCCTGGACAGGAATCTTCAAAAATACACCAAAAATGCTATGAAGACGATTGCTCGACTCTCCCGGCGGCGCCTCCGGCGCCGCGCGCCGCCCTCGTCCTCCTTCCTTCCTCTTGCCCTCCTTGCGCGCTGGACACTTTTCAGGAGGGAGAAACACACAGACACACGTAATCGTCGATTCCCCAGAAAATACTGGAAAATATGAAAAGTGGGGGGAGGACAAGAACCAAGAAAATATAGAAAAATATAGGAATCCTGTTCTTTCTGTAAATTTATGTGTGTGTGTCCCAGGCCCCTTCAGATTCGCCTTTCGGATGCCTCGATGCGCCTCGCGCGGGTGCGGGCTGCCTCTGCCGGTCGCCGCCGACGAACAAAATATTAGCCTGGCGAAGGACCCAACCATATGCAGCTGCGAGTACCGCACGGATATGAGACGAAGGAGGGGGCACGCAAACTAGGCCCCTCTTCTCATAGGCTTCGCGCCACTGGGGCCTTCGGTGGAGCTCCCTATGGGGCCACGAAGCGTGTGAAGGGTGTGCCGAAATGGGTGGTGGAGAGGCATGCGGACACTGCCACTGGGGCCTTCGGTGGAGCTCCCTATGGGGCCACGAAACGTGTGAGGGGTGTGCCGAAATGGGTGGTGGGGAGGCATGCGAACGCAGCCACTGGGGCCTTCGGTGGAGCTCCCTATGGGGCCACGAAACGTGTGAGGGGTGTGCCGAAATGGGTGGTGGGGAGCCACTGGGGCCTTCGGTGGAGCTCCCTATGGGGCCACGAAACGTGTGAGGGGTGTGCCGAAATGGGTGGTGGGGAGGCATGCGAACGCAGCCACTGCGGCCTTCGGTGGAGCTCCCTATGGGGCCACGAAGCGTGTGAGGGGTGTGCCGAAATGGGTGGTGGGGAGGCATGCGAACGCAGCCACTGGGGCCTTCGGTGGAGCTCCCTACGGGGCCCGAAACGTGTGAGGGGTGTGCCGAAATGGGTGGTGGGGGGCATGCGCAGCACTGGGGCCTCGGTGGAGCAGCACGAACTGAGGGGTGTGCCCATTCTGGGGTGGAGCTCCCTATGGGGCCACGAAACGTGTGAGGGGTGTGCCGAAATGGGTGGTGGGGGGGCATGCGGACCCTGCCACTGGGGCCTTCGGTGGAGCTCCCTATGGGGCCACGAAACGTGTGAGGGGTGTGCCGAAATGGGTGGGGGGAGGTGCTGCCACTGGGCCTTCGGTGGAGCTCCCTATGGGGCCACGAACGCGTAAGGGTGTGCGAAAAGGGTGGTGGGGAGGGCATGCGGAACGCAGCCACTGGGGCCTTCGGTGGAGCTCCCTATGGGGCCACGAAACGTGTGAGGGGTGTGCCGAAATGGGTGGTGGGGAGGCATGCGAACGCAGCCACTGGGGCCTTCGGTGGAGCTCCCTATGGGGCCACGAAACGTGTGAGGGGTGTGCCGAAATGGGTGTGGGGAGGCATGCGAACGCAGCCACTGGGGCCTTCGGTGGAGCTCCCTATGGGGCCACGAAACGTGTGAGGGGTGTGCCGAAATGGGTGGTGGGGAGGCATGCGAACGCAGCCACTGGGGCCTTCGGTGGAGCTCCCTATGGGGCCACGAAACGTGTGAGGGGTGTGCCGAAATGGGTGGTGGGGAGGCATGCGAACGCAGGAGGGAGAAGGGCGAGGAGAAGGAGGAGGAGGAGGAGGAGGAGAAGGAGGGGGAACGCGGGGACCGTTTCTTCAAAACGAGGACCCAACACCACAGGATGGTTGGGAAAAAAAAGTCTGGGAGGGAGCCGATGCGGACCTCCCGGGTGGGTGTTCCGAGCGGCGCATCGCCGCTGCACCGGCGACGCGGCTCGCTGCGGGACCCGCTGTGCTTCGCGCTGGCGGCGCCGATGCATCGCCGGCGTCGGCGAAGCGGCGCGATCCTCCGACTCCATCTTCGCGGGTCGACCGCGTCGACCTTCGCGCGCGAGTTTCCCGCGTAAGAGGCCGCGCGTGAGCGTCCTCTCCCATTCCCCCCCGCACGGTGTGCCACGCTGGCGGCCCGCGCAAGCCGCGGCCAAGGTCACTATACCTTGCTTCCCTCGATACCGTGGATGTAAAGAATTAGCGCGAAACCCATCCGTAACATTGAATTCCGCCATTCAAACCCATGCTCTCCACCATCCATGCCATCCGATCGGATGGTGTGGCTGGTTTTCGGTGTCTGGAATGTCTGGGTTTGTCTGTGTTTGTCTGTGTTGTCTGGGTTTGTCTGGGTTTGTCTGGTGGCATCATCGTCCTCATCAACACAAATATAGATAAGTGTAAACATTATCATACACCTACAGTGTACATACACATCAACATAAGCATCAACAACACACACAACACACATCAACATTCATTTAACACGAACATCATCATAGACATCACCATCAACTTCAACACCAAACACAAACACCAACATCGGGACTGTCAAGCACAAACACCAACACAACAGCAACACCAAACACCAACACCAAACACCAACAACAAACACCACCACCAACACCAAACATAAACATCAAACATCAGCACCAACACCAGCATCAACACCAACGCCAACACCAACACCAAACACCAACAACAACACCAAGGTGTTTCCGTTGCCCCGTTGTTTCTGGTCCAAGCCGTTTCTGGCGACATTTTCAGGCGGGGGCGGCCATCCCAGCGATGAGCCACGCCATCCGCTCCAAGCTGGCGGAGGCCATCCGCCAGCTGCCCTCGCACAAGATCCAGGGGTGGATCTCGAAAGGGCTGCCCCTGGTTGAGTGGAACCAGAATGGCCGCAAGGCCATCCCACCTTCTCCTCCTCTTCCCCTTGACCGCCCTGCTCCTCCCCCTCTCACCCCCCAGGCTGTCAAAGGGATCGGTGAGCACTTGCTCGACTCCGAGTGGTGGCGCGTTTTGAGGGCGGCGCAGGAGGTCGCACATCCAAAACGATACCGATGCCGATGCTCCCTGTCCCCCATTCCCTCCCCCCTCCAGGAGGGGGGAGGGGAGGGGGGGCAGGGTGGGTAGCATCGTCATCGGTGTGCGTTTTGCCCCGCCCAGTTCAACAACCCGTTGACCTTCGATATCGGCGATTGGGAGGTTGCCTTTGCGATGGTGCCTACTCCTTCTCCTCTCCGCCCGCCCTCATCCGTCGTCAGGTTTACTCCAGGTCATCCTCTTCATGCTCATCCCATGTCCTTCCTCATCCTCCTAACCTCCTTCTCCTCCTTCTTCTCCTCTCTCTGTCCCTCACCTTCCTCCTCCTCATCCTTATCCTCGTCGCCCTCCTCCTTCTCCTCCTCCTCCTCCTCCCCCTTGCTCGTGCCCTCCTCCTCCTCCGCCTCTTCATTCCCGTGCGTCGTCAAACCCATCTCGAAACGCTATGCCATTCCTCATCCACCTTCGGTGCTAAGCGAGAAGGCCCTCGTGACCACCAAGGTCTGTTTGGAGGCCAAGAAAGCGCTGGACCTGTTCTCAGGGCACAGGCGGGCCGCCAGGACCGACGAGGGCGACAATATGACGACGATGAAGATGAGGGCGACGAGCGATGACAATGACGAAGTAAAAACTGACAATGTGAAGGACATGAGGCCGATGATTGCGGGATAGGGGTTCGGAGCGAGACGTGGCAATCATCGGCCTCAAGACTGAAATTAACGAAACAGTGGGCAGGGGAAACCCTGAGTGAGGAGGACAGGGGGAGGGAGAGCAGGATGGGGAGGGGGAGGTGGAGCAGGAGGGGGGGGGGGGGGGGGCAAGAAGAGGAGGAGTCAGCAGCAGACAATGACGCGGAGGCGAAACTGAAACACGAGGAAGTGACGAAGAGCAGGGGGAGGATTTACGAGGATGCCCCCCCCCCCCCCCCCCCCCCCCCCCCCCCCCCCCCCTCCCCCCCAGGAACGGGTGGGACATCCCCGACGAGCTGCAGCGGAAGATGGCAGCCCCCTTCACGATCGCCCCGAAGAAGGAGAAGACGAAGAACGAGGCGGCCCGCGAGTTCATGTTCAAACACGACGAGAACGACGACGAGGACAGCTTCGTCGACGACAGCAGCAGCGAGGAAGGTCGACGGACAAAACAGCTTGTCGTCGTCGTCGTCCTCTGTGCCCTCCTTCTTCTCCTAAACCCCGATCCTCATCGCCCCCCTCCTTCTCGCTCCCAGTCCCTCCCAATCCTCCTCTTCGTCCTGTTCTCCTCCCTGGTCCTCCTTAGGCGCCCCACCCTTCCTCCTCGTCCTCCTTCCCCTCCTCATCAGCCTCCTCTGCCTGCCCTCGCTCATCCCCCTTACCCCCGTGGCCCCCCTTCTGGTCCATCCTTCATTTCCGTGCTCCCCATGCGCCTCGCCCCTCCTCCTCCTCCTCCTCCTCGTCCTCCTCCCCCCCCCCTCCTCCTCCTCCTTGCTCCCCCCTCCGTCCACCTCCGTCCTCCTCCGTCCTCCTCCTCCGTCCCTCCTCTTTCCCCCCTCATCCCCCCCCCCCCCCTCCTCCTCCCCCACCCCCCCCCCGAGGTGCCTCCGCGACGCAGGACGTGGTCAGCGCTATGCTGCGCAAAGCCCGCGGCGGGGCTGAAGTGCGAAGGCTTCCTCCTCCTCCTCCTCCTCCCCCTCCTCTTCCTCCTCCTCCTCCCCCCCTCGTCCTCGTCCTTCTCCCTCTTCTTCTCCTCTCCTCCACCTCCTCGTCTTCCTTGTTTTCCTCGTCCTCCTCCTCCTCCTCCTCCTCCTTGTCCTCCTCCTTCTCATCCTCCTCCGCCTCCTCGTCTTCCTTGTTATCCTTGTCGCCCTGCGCTTTCTCCAGTGTCTCCCTCCCCCAGTTTCTACGTCTCCTTCTCATCATCGTCCACCTCTTCGTCTTCATCATCCTTCTCCTCTGCATTGTCCTTTTCCCCCCCCCTAGTGCTCCCGCGCCGCCCCCCGCGCCCTCGCGCCCATCACCATTGCCATTATTATTGTCATGCCCGACCTCTCTTCCTTCGG